CCCCCCAACACCAGACAGGCTGGTGTCTGTCAGGTGTAGGAGCAGGGCCAGGGTATGAATATTTATGGGGAGATAGTAAAGGACATTTCTAGGAGCCATTTCGATGTGTGCCTCCCTCATGAACCTGAAGAAATGTCCACCACATCACCACTCCCTCACACCAACTCCCCCTCACACCTCTTATTGCCCCCAAGAAAGCTCCTGGCAAACATCGAGCCAGATACACCAATGCTACAAGGAGGAGGCAACTTAGGAATGTGGCAAAGACATTTGCACGTAGTACTCCTGCAGTGCACTGAGCTACACAGGCCAAGTACCAGCAAGATCACCCTGAGGTGCTCAGAACAACACAGTCTCCATATGAGCAAAACAATCCAGGAATACAAGTAGAGAGGCCATCACTTTTGTGGAAGGTAGCAGGAGTTGACTTAACAGACAACTGCTTCTCAAATGAACAGTTCTATGTGGCCTGCTCCAGAGTGAGCTCATCAAGCAGCCTGGTGATCCTGGCACCTGAGGGCAGAACCACCAATGTGGTCTAGAGAGAGGTCCTTCAGTAGAGAGAGAAAAAAGTACATTTCTTCATTTCTTACACTACAATCTTACACTTCTTACATTTCTTACACTACAATCTTCTCTGTTAGAATTCCTACAACAAATGTCACATTTCAAATTTCACATCATCAGTATTATAACTGAATTTACGGAACTTTAATACCATAGTGAAGCACGGGTAGCAGGCTAGTTTTAGGCTGATTTCCCACAAGCGCTGCTCCGCGCTCACTCCTCCCTTTTGCCCCGATGGCACGGGTCAATTTCGCACAAGCTGCTGTGCAGCTGCATTTCGCAAAGCCCCGGCGCTTCGCGTGATTTCCCCCACGTCTACTCAGTCTTCAAAAAACAGGACTGAGTAGATGTGGGGGAAATCGCATGAAGCTGCGGGGCGAAATGCAGCCACGCAGCAGCTTGTGTGAAATTGACACGTGCCATCGGGCCAAAAGGGAGGAGTGAGCGCGGAGCAGCGCTTGTGGGAAATCAGCCTTAGTATAAATAAGAAAACCTAACTAGACTTTTTAAAAGGCATCAAACAGTCTATCATGACGTACAGAATGTAACAATATTTCTGAAAAGGCACCTGCAACTGTATCCTGCAAGAATTAAAAGTATGTTTGTTGTGGCATATGTTCCATGATTAGGAAGCACCTATATTCTGCTTTTTCCCCTTGGGCTGGCATCAGGTTAACTTATTTCATTATGCTTTGATTGAGATTGCGTTAGAGGAGATGTTCAGTTTTTTAACTTCTCCCCCCCCCCATATAAGAGTATGGTAAAAATAATTTCTGTTGGTTGTAACAGAATGTAGGCCAGATGAACTGAATGTTCTTTAGCTCTGTTTCATAACAGATAATAAACACACACTGTTCCTTAGACTGTTCTCTTAATTTGCATGTTTAGCCATTCCCTGCTTAACAATCTATTACAAGAGTTTTCAAACTGTGTTCCAGGGAGTCCTAGGGCCCCTTGTAAGCCTGTCAGGGGTTCCTCTATGAGAAGATTAGTAGCAGTTATACAGTTGTACAGGAATGCTGGATGCATTCTAAAATGCATCTTCATGATAGACCATATTGAAGGCCAGTTGCCCTGGCAGTGCCCCATGTGAACTGAACAGTTATTTCTGTGGGGAGGAGCACATTGAGCACAGCACAGTTCATTGCTTGGTGTAGGGGGTTTAAGGTAAAGGTAAAGGTTCCCTTGCTCGAAAGCCAGTCGAATCCGACTCTAGGGTTGCGGTGCTCATCTCCGTTTCCAAGCCGAAGAGCCAGCGCTGCCCGAGGTCATGTGGCCGGCGTGACTAAACACCAAGGCGCACGGAAGGGGGTTTACCAAGATCTTTATTGCAGGTTTACAATGGTCTTCCCCTCCCTTAATGATAGGGAGTGAGGCTGCAATGCACATTACCTTATAACCTAGGGCAGAGATCATTGTCAGGCATCCGTAGGACATTTCCAACCGAGAAGCTCACTCAAGTGGCTGGTGCTCTACCCTGTCTACTTCATCATTCTTACTTTCCTCCTCACTCTGCTGTCATCTTTCCAGGCCATCCAGTCTCTTACCTACATGGGCCCTGGATGGACTCAGGCGTTCTGCCACCACGTACCTCCTCTACTGGGTACTGCCATCCTGGCAGTTTGTGTTGTGGCCTCTCTGCAGCTCCCCTGTGGAGCTTTGGCCAACCATTCTGTGACCCAAGCAGCAACCCTCCACTTGGCCACCATTTGTCCTCGCTGTTGCTGATATCCATCCTAGGTAGGCCTGGGACTAATATTAGTGTACATCTCTTGGGAAAGGGCTCATTTGTGTTCAGTCTAGGTTTCACGTTTTATTTCCTCCTCATGGGAGATCAAATGTGCACACGGAGAGAAGAGATGCTAGATGTTGCTAAGTTTGCTCAGCTTTAGTCAGAGGACTTCATTTAGACAATAGAAGTAAAGCCAAGATCAGACCTTGTTTTTACAAACCTGTATATGTGCCATGATAATTACTCCACTAAGTGTTTCAAATAACTCAGGTTTGTTTCTAGTGCCATAAAATGAGTAGCAACTATCTTATATTCCATAGGTCATAAAGTTATTACCTAGGGCAGATCTGATGACTCCAACTTTAAATTCCTCAGTTCAGGATCCCTGTCAAGTAGCTGGCCTCCATTGACCTGGAGGGCATTTTGGCGTTAAGGGCATTTTGGTAACAGGAAAACTTTATTACTGTAATGTGACTTCCACTGGAGGAAGAGCCATTTCAGTTTGAGGAGGGCTCCTTGGATGTTAGGATCCACCCCGTTAAAAACAGATGCATACAAGTCACATTCTAAAATACCTCTCCTACATGCAGAGGTTCCCCAGTAGAAAAGTCAATACAGAAAGGGTTCCTTGGAGGTAAAATATGAAAAATTATTATTCTTTTACACTATATACATGAAACTTGTTCTTCCAAGAATGCATTGCTTGGTATGCAACCATGTCCCTCTCAATTCTACCTCTTCGCACCAATGTTATTTCTAAGCAAATATACTTTGATTGGTATACAACATGGAGATATCTTAGTTATGATTACACCTTTATGTTTGTAGCAAGGCAGGAAAATAGCATCTTCTGTTCTGTTTTTTTTCTAACAGATGACTCCAAATAGCCATATCATTTTATGTGGGCAGATCTCCCAGTACAACAAAGATGTGCCTTATCCTCCTCCACTCCCTCCTGCAACAGAAGAAATAAGGAAAGCACGAAACATCACTAGGTATTTCTCCTGAACCAGCCCTAGCCACCATCTGGACTGAATATAGACTACTAACCAGTTGGGAGGCTGCACCAGGGAGGGGAAAGGGAGCGAAATCACTCTCTTCTTCCATCATCAGAGCTTCATGCACAAGAGAGGCAGAAGGGAGTGACTTCGGCCTCTTCCCCCTGCCCTCTGCAGCCTCCCAACCTGTCTTGCTATTGTTCCTGCAACCACAGAGTTAGAAATGACTGCTGGGAAGGTGGGAAAACTGGGAAGAAGAGAAATCTTCAGTGCCTTCTGCTTAGGGATAGTGGGGTCCAACTCATCCCAGGTTCCTATTTTAGCCTCCTGCTCAGTCCCCAACCTGAAGTTAGAGAACCGAATAGGAGACTGAAATCGAAGATCAGAATAAGAGAGAGATATATATATATATTTTGCTGGGATTCTAGCAACAGTAAAACAGAGGTATCCTGTCTGCAGCATTGTGCTCATGAGGAAACAGGGCAGGAGCCACATGTCACAGTAAAAGTTAAGATGAACACAGCCACTTGTTTGGTAGAATGACCAAGAGACATGCATGGAACACTTAGTATTCTGTAATCACAGAGGTATTTTTGCACACATATTGGCTACTGTACAACTTCTAATGTATTTACAGCTTCATCTTTTAGGCATACTTTTAACCATCTGGATGATTAGCATTGCTTGATCCTGTTAAATAAAAATGTTAGCCTGTTTATCCATGCAATTAGTTTCATATACAGAGAGTAAGACTGTACTGTTTGTTTGAATCCATAGCAGAGATTGTGGTCTGCATCCTTTCAGTACATTGTAATGTTATTACTTTGATTTTTAACAACATACTAAATTGACACAAATGTTAACAGATTTTCACACAAATGCTGATAGGCCATATCTGCTTGTAAGGCTCTTAATTGAATATAATCGATACTACTCTTTCACAGGGAAAGATTTCTAGTTCTGAACTACATGGACAAATATCCAGCTAGTACTATGCAACTTTGTCAATGGATCAAAGAGGGAAAACTGAAGGTAGGGCTCAAATCGGAAGGTGTGAGTGAGCATGGCTCTCTTCTGTGGAAGTCTTTTTTTGTTATTTGTTCTGTTGACTCTTGAGTATTAATGAATAATCTACTTTAGCCCTGTTGACAAAAAGCATAGAGGCTTTCTACAGACCACCGAGCTGGGTCATACAGCTATTTGGTTGAGATTAAGAGAACATATTTGGTTAACCACTTCAATACTTTCTTGTTCCCTAATTAATTGAAAACTTTGTAGTGCTTCTTAGGGGATAAAACGGGAAATGGGAACCAGTCTCTTTTCTCCTTTTTCAGGTTAGAGAGACTGTTGTGAAAGGCTTGGAGAACATTGGAGGTAAGACATCATTGGTTCTTCTGTACTCCACTATATCAGAGCTATGGAATGTCAACTCTAAATTGAAACAGGTTAAATGAAGTAGCCTGACTTAAAACATGTTCACCAAACCTATAGGACTGAAAATAAATACAAATCTTGGGTTGGATCCATATTAACCTGGCAATTTCCACCAATTGTCCCTTCTTACTGCAGACCTCCTCATGTCAGTCTCGAGTGGAGTGCCACAGGGCTCGGTCCTGGGCCCGGTGTTGTTCAGTGTTTTTATAAA